ATTATACTCCTTCTAATCAAAGGAACACTTTCATTGTTTCCTTAAGTGTTATTATATTGCTGGAATATATTTTGCTAAGAAAGCTCAAAAATAACATAGAAGCCGTGGCACACTACAAATGAGTTAGAGAGACAGGAGAGTTTCTGCAAACACAAGTTAGTGAGGCTGGCAGAATGGGCCATAGCAACCTTCCAACAGAGTCTGGGACTCCTACGACATTGCTCCATCACTCAGGAAGGCACCTACACTTCAAAGTGGATATGATTCTATGAGTTAAGTATCAATGGTCATTGTAATCCTCCTTTAAATTCAGTCCTCTGAGGCCTACAGTAGTCCTTTCTTATTTGTGATTTTGCTTTCTGCAGTTTCATTTTTCCACAGTCAACTGCAGTCTGAAAATATGAAATGGAAAATTCTACAAATAAACAATTCATAAGTTTTAAATTGCATGCTGCCTGAGTAGCGTGATCAAATCTTGCTCTTTTTTGTTTGAAAGGAACAATGATTAGCCCCAAAGATATCTGGTTCTCCTTCTAATCCCTGGATCCTGTGGCTGTTGCTTTCTACAGCAAAAGGGACTTTGCAGATGTGATAAAGTTAAGGGTTTTGAAATGGAGAGATTATCCTGGAGAACCAGGCGGGCCCTAAATGTAATCAGAAGTGTCCTTAAAAGTGGGAGATTTGACTCTGTGAAGGAGGCTGGGGCCCTGAGAGAAAGTGACTTGCCCAAGCTCGCACCAGAAGTGTGCGTCAGAGCCGGGGTTAGATGCCCAATTCCGATTCATTTTCTTTCTTTCGACCCATCCAGGCTGCCTACCTGCCTCGTCTGGTGCCGATTTAGGTGTAACCTCATTACCCAGCCAGGGACTTGGTTCCCTGAGCCAGGAGACTGGGGCTTCCCACAGACCCCAGCTCAGGCGTGCTGTCTGGAGCCACCAACTCTGTTGCACCTCTCCTTGCTCAGTCTTGCTCACAAACCCTCACCATCCCTTCCCTCGGCCTCATGGATAGCTTTTCCATCAGGTGGGAACAACCGCCTGAAAACTTCTTCTGGCCATAAGGGGCTAGAATAGAAGTGGGGATGGGTTAGGAGAATAGCAAAAGCAAACTCAGTGCTCCAGGATTGCTCAAAGCCCCAAGCCACTCAGTGAAGGAAGTCTCACCATTTGCTCCTCCGCCTTGCTGTCCCTTTAGACCATCAGTCAGGGTTGGGAAGGACTTCCTGCCAAGCTGCTCTCACCTACATTTCGAAGTGGATATGCTTCTATGGGTTAAGCACAGCAGTCACTGTAATCCTCCTTTAAACTCAGTCTTCTGAGGAGTACAGTACACCCTCCTTATTCGTGACTTTGCTTTCTGCAGTTTCAGTTGTCTATCGTCAACTGTGGTCTGAAAATATTAAGTGGAAAATTCCAGAAGCAAACAGTTCATAAGTTTTAAATCGCATGCTCTGTGAGTAGTGTGATCAAATTTCACTGTGTCTCGCTCTATCCTGGGTTCAGTACTATTGACGGTTTCAGGCATCCAATTTGGGGGAGGGGTCCTGGAACATATCCCCTGTGGCTACAGCAGGGACTAATGTAATGTGCTCTCAGACACACTTTGGTATGTTAGTCAATCAAACTGATTGTTTCGCCAGCAAGAAAAATGCAAAATAGCAGGAATCTTGCATCCCGCCTCTTCCCACTTGTTTCCAGCCCATTGAGGACCCTGAGTATCTGGGTAAGGAGGTGGCTGAGCAGTGTGTAGAAAGGGAGGACACACTTCCCCTCTGAGCACGCTGGCCCACGCTTAGCCTCCCACCTGGCAAGCTGGTGCGGGACAGTGATGGCCGAACGAGGGGATGACCCTTTCTGGGAGCTGGCATTTCTCCTTAAACTTACCCACCACTCTCTTCTGTTGCTGCCAACGAATTTCAATGAGCCGTTTGCTCCTGCTTGGGTGACATGCTACAAACCCCCTTTTCTGATCAAAGTTTGAGTTAATTAAACGTGGAAAGTTTGTTTTGTGTTGTGTTGCAGGGCATTTCGTGATAAAAAGCGTCTACGAATAAGGCAACTTTTGAAATCGTTCATCTGGGCAGTTTCAGAAAGGAAGTCAGAATCTCCCTCACATCTTATCTAGGGTGGTGCCTACTTGTCGAACTTGTACGAGTTTCATTATATTTATAATTACTCCTTTCACCTTTACACAATAGTCTTCTGACAATAACTGCATAACCTTCTTGGGTTTCTTGTTCCTGGCTTGACAGCCAAATCTATGGAACTTGAAATTATTGGTGCTTTGTAATGTTTAATCATTTTGAGGTTTGTGTACTCTGAAGGGTGAGGAAATTTGTCAAAAATAATACCTTGCATTCTATGGTTAAAAATGCCTAGACTCCAAACTCAAACGTATCTTGCCAGGCTCTGTCAGCTGATGGGTGAAAATGACAAAAGTAAATCAGCTTCAGCAAACAATGGAAAATCTAGGGGAGGTGACTTCAGGAGCTGCAGCCACATCCTGAGAACGCTGTCTCTCTCCATCTCCCTTTCTTCTGTGTTGGCTCTGTTCACAGAAGGACTGTTTCCCTGTGTTGTCTAGATGGCTGCCTGAGCCTCTTGTTTACACGCTCTCGGATTCAAGTCCAGCAGGAAACAAGCTTCTTCGCTGCTCAACCTGACAGAAGTCTTACAATCTGCTCTTGTCAGCTTGGGACAGGTACCCATCCCTGAACCCATCAGTGTGGCTGTGAGGATTTCCTGCTGTGACTGGCTGACCTTAGGTGAGCAGGTCAGTCCCCGAGCCAGAGGTTCCATCAGTTCCAGCCAGGTAAGTGTTCTGAGAGTGCAGGTGGGGGGGTTTCCAGCCAAAGACACTCCAGTGGGCTGGCCAAGTGGCTCAGTTAGTTAAGAGTTGGCTTAAGAGTGCAGGCTCTGGTGGCTCAGTTGGTTAAGAGCTCGCCCAAGAGTTTGAGCTCTGAGCAACAGTGGTTCGAGTCAGCCTGAGCTGAGCAGCCGTGAGCTGCCAACAGGTGGCGGGATGGCTCAGCTAAAAAAAAAAAAAAAAAAAAAAGAGTGCAGGCTCTGAGCAACAGGACTGCCGGTTCGATTCCCACATGGGCCAGTGATGCTACACCCGAGCTGAGCTGTCGCTGAACTGCCAACAGGTGGCAGGATGGCTCAGCTGGTATAACAACAAGATTGCCTGTTCAATGGTGGGCTATGCCCACCTGTGATTAAGGCTGAACTCAACACCTTTAGCTGAGCTGCCACCAGGATGGCTCAGTGGATAGAGTGTGTGCTCTTAACAAGGCTGCTGGTTTGACTCCCACATGGGATGGTGGCTACGCCCACCTGCAACTAAGATTGAACTCAGCACCCTGAGCTTAGAGGCCACAAGCTGCCGACAGAAAGCCAGATTGCAACTGGCACCCTCGACAATGAAGATTGAAGAACAAAAACTTTGCTGGTCCCCTTCCCCAATTCCCCAACACTGTTCGCCTCCCCCAATTCCCCAATAAAATCTTTAAAAAACAAAACAAAGACACTCCAGTGACTGTTAGCAAATAAGGATGAGAATAGATGTGGGAATAGCGGACGTCCACCACACTCTCCAGCCTTTCTATAGCATTCAATCTTGGTGCCTTGAAATATGCATCACTGCCTTCCCTCACACAGGGCTCTCCAATCTCCCTTCTCTCTGACTGCTCCTCCCCCGTGAGGAAAGACATGGTTTTCTGACCCTATCCCCCCAGCTTAACCTCTGGAGTTCAGACTCAACTTGACATCACCTCCTCTGTGCCTCTACCTACTCTGTTCCCTCAACCTAGAACACCATTCCTCTTCCCACCTCTCATCTCTGCATGTTCATGGCTTCTATATCTTGGATCAAATACCTCTTTGTGAAACTTCCACATCTAATTTTCTTCAAGACAGGAATAAACTCTCCTTTCCCTCTAAACTCTTATTATCCTCTATCAAATGTAGAATTTTCTGTTTTAGATATTCTGTTATATATTGAAATATGTATCTGTGGCTCTTAGCTCCTTGAACATAAGAATGTGGCTTATCTTTATCATTTACTCCTCTATCCAACACCCCTCCCCCCCTCCAGGATCAGTCCTTATATAGCTAGTATTTGTTAAATAAATGTGTATGGTGCTTCCCATTTTATTAAGGTACATTCACACCCATCAGCATTTTTGCTTCTCAAAACATATCTGGAGATGAAGAACAAATATATTAGTTTTATATATGAGGGTATATACCAGATTTATACCAAGAGGATCAAAGACTTAACTGAAGATTCCTAAGCCAGTTTTGTGGAAAGCTGGGGCTGAAAACCTAGATCTTCAGAGTTATATTACCTGTTATTTTCCAAGAAAAACTTGCTGGTATGTGTTGGATCATTAAAACCTGGAGAATAGTTGAACCAAGTCATTTTAATTTCAAATAGATTAAATATTTCACTCTGAACTTTCAATCTGCTAATTACTGGGATAGTGTGATGACTTGCTCCACGTGTAAAGTATATTTAAAAGGAAATCTAGATAAAGTGGTTCTTTCTGGCTCGGTGTGGGTTATTTTCATTGTTGCTATTGCTGGTGGTGGTTCTCTGACCCGCCTCTGCCCTCTTTGGTGTGTGTGTGTGTGTACAGATACACTGCTCATGAGGTGGCTTTCTTTCCCCAGAGCAAGCATCCTTCACTATTTTAAATATATATATATATATATATATATATATATATATATATATATATATATTCCCAGGTGTATAAAACAACATAATGATTAGATATTTACATCTCTCACAAAATGACCCCCCCCCCAAGTCTACTACCCCTCTGCATCCTTCGCTTTTAAAACTCCAAGATCTTCCCTCTGCAACGGCTCAGAGACCTGGATGTACACCTGGATTCACAGCCACATAATAGGTCAAAACCGTTGACCTCCTGTCCTGCCCTAGCCTGTGGGCGCCCGTCCAGCCCGCCTGGGGTGGAGCCCATATCCGGAGCCCAGCTGATAAACCGGCTCAGCGGCTCCGGACTTGCTGTGGTTTGCAGCCCGAGCCTGTGACTGGGGGCGGTCCTTGAAGAAGGGCGACCCCAGCTCGCCCAAGCCAGCCAGCTCGTGTGCCCCTGGCCATGGCGGCGCCGTCCAGGCTCCTGATCCGCGGGGGTCGCGTGGTCAACGACGACTTCTCGCAGGTGGCCGACGTGCTGGTGGAGGACGGCGTGGTGCGGGCTCTCGGTCGCGACCTACTGCCGCCTGGGGGCGCGCACGCCGGGCTGCGGGTCATCGACGCGGGGGGCAAGCTCGTGCTGCCAGGCGGCATCGACACGCACACGCACCTGCAGTTCCCCTTCATGGGCACAAGGTCCGTCGATGATTTCCACCAAGGCACCAAGGTACCCACCCAGCCGCGCCCTCATCCAGGGATGCCGTGTGGAGCCCTCTGGCCGCCTGTCCTGCCGCTTCGGGGTTCCAAAGCAGACCCCCCACCCCGCACTCCCCCGCGCCCCCACGCCTGCGCAGCGCGGAGGGGCCGAGTGGGCAGAAGCGAGCCGCAGCCACCGAGCGGGTGTAGAGCTGGGATCAAGATTCTGCACCCTGAGCTCCTTTCTTCTGGGCGCCCCTTCTCGGTGGCATCAGCCCACCTTGCCTAAACTAGCAGCCTCCTACCCCCCTCCGTTTGGGTAATTTGACAAGTTTAAGGCAACCTTGCCCTCATTTCTTTACACTTTCTATCCTCCCCACCCCCCACATTCATTGGTGTTCTAAGGAAATCCATGAGACTTCCGTAAAATCTGGAATCTTTTTGTTAACTTGGCGCTCCCAGGCACTTCTCCCCACCTTCCATCCCCAAAAATCCATTCGCCTGGCAGTTACTGCCTTGGCTCAGAGTTAGCTGTATGTGGTGGGTGATGAGACGTTTGGGTGGCTTGGAAGCCCAGCATATCCACAATCTTTGCCTCCTCCCGTAGAAAAAAACACAGCCCTGAGAAGGGCTTCCGAGAGAAATAGTCCCAATACGATCTCCCAGGCACTCACCCTGCATCAAGGCGGCCTGGTCCCATCTCTCCACTGAGCTCCTAGTCCTGGGGGGCATTAACTACAGCCTCCGATTCTTACTGCTTGAGCACCTGCAGCTCTACTGATGGTGGAGGAGGATCAGATCACCAACCCCAGGTGAGGGAGCTTGGGTTTCTCTCCACACAAAGGGCCTAGAGGCTCAGGTCCATGAAAAGAACCTTAACCGTTTCCCCAAGACTCCTGAAAACCAGATCAGGAGATGAAGGCATATTTAAAACTCGACTCAGCGCTTCTGCTAAAGCCAAACGCTCACCCTCCTTGAGCTTTGAGTTTGGGGCTGCGGTGAGTGAAATGACTCCTCCCAAAACGGAAGTGTTGATCCCCTTGTCTAAACTCTTTACTCAGGGCTGTGCATGAGGTTTTACCTGAAGGAGACACCTTGATGTGTGTAAAACAAGATGGCTCCAACTAGAAGCAGTTCAGGCTTTCAAAGCATGTTGGAGTACCCTACTGATTTCTAGCTACCAGTTTTACTCTCCTTACACCTCCCCCATGCACGTTACCCAATCATCTATGATTGACCAGAATATTTAACAGAAAAAAAGAGAATGATATAACCCAGAGACAGGGGTCTGGCACACGCGGCTCACATCAACATTTGGGAAGCTTCCTCCTAGTTACTAATTGTCAACCCTTCTCATCAGGGCAATGTTCAAAGTCTTTTGTAGGACAGATCATTATTTGTTTTGAAAGTGGAACGTTCATGTTTACCTTTGGCTAAAAATTGAAATTTGCTCAATTTGTATGAACTTGTTATTACATTTTATGTAAAATGTTCAGATATCAAAGCAATACAAATTATAGAAAATTGGGAAAAGAATAGGAAAATGGAAAGAAGGAAAATATTACCCATAATCTCCCACTTAATGACAACTGACATTTTGTTATATTGTGTCTATGCTTTTTAATATGACTATTTTTACATAATTGAGATTGTATTGTGTATGTGTGTGTGTGTGTGTGTGTGTACCTGTATATAAAATTTTGTAACTTGGTGTTTCCAGTTATAGTACAGCACTTCCTGTTATCACAGACTCATCATTAAAAAAGTCCTTTGTTGATGGCAGGTCATTCCATTGACACCCCCATTTGCCAGGTATTTCTGACCATGTTAATTTTAATTTTCCTTTGAGATCTGTCAGTGAACAAACTATAGGGAAAATCAGCCTTTACGTGCATGTCTCTGGATGAGCCAAATGTGGTGGATATTCTTATAAGACGGCTTCATGTCCTAGGGCAGCGGTTCTCAACCTTCCTAATGCCGCAACCCCTTAATATAGTTCCTCATGTTGTGGTGACCCCCAACCATAAAATTATTTTCGTTGCTACTCTATAACTGTAATTTTGCTACTGTTATGAATCGCAATGTAAATACCTTTTTGTTTTCCGATGGTCTTAGGCGACCCCTGTGAAAGGGTCATTCGACCCCCAAAGGTGTCGCGACCCACAGGTTGAGAACCGCTGCCCTAGAGGAAAATTTTCCTCAGGCAACCCCACAAAGATTCTTACTCACCTAAGAATACCCAACCAATGACCAGAGAGAGCTCACTGGATGCTTTCCAAGGCACAGGGCCCTTCTCTTGGGGTGCTCCCATTCCAGGGCGCCCTGCCCTTCTCCCTGGGGCTCCTGCCGGCTTCCCCACGATGGGTTGCTTTACTGCACTAAATGCCTCATGGCACCCATCTCCATCACTCTGGATTTGGGGATCTGCAGCAACTATTGTCGCCCCTTTGGCTATTTGGGTTGGGGAAGCAAGTGTCCTTTATCCTTTGGAGCTAAAGAGAGTTCAGTCTTTCATTTAACCAGCAAAGATTTTGTTCAGACTTTAGTCCAATTAAAAAGCTGGTATTAAAAGTAGCAACCTAGGGCCGGCCGAGTGACTCAGCTGGTTAAGAGCTTGCTCAAGAGTGCGAGCTCTGAGCAGCAGGGTTGCTGGTTCGATTTCCAGCCNNCTCTGAGCAGCAGGGTTGCTGGTTCGATTTCCAGCCTGAGCTGAGCTGCCAACAGGTGGCAGGATGGCTCAGCTAAAAAAAAAAAAAAAAAAGTAGCAACCTATTGTTTTTTTTCCTTTCCCTGGGTTATCTCAACCCTTATGCACCTTGAGGATTTTCTAAGAACAGCTCAAATAAAGTCATGGACCTTCTGCTTAAATCCTGGGATTTAGAGAGAAAACTCATTTAAATTCGCCCAGTGTGAAGCCAGGAGCTGGTGGGGCACAATGGGCCCTTGCTTGCCCCTAGCTTGGGGGTCCAGGTCCACAGAGTGGTCCTGGGTGGGCTTCTTCAGAATTCTGCTGGCTACACTAAATAAATATTGACATAAGAAACGTCCAAACCTGTAGAGAATTCTTATAAGAGTTTCTTTGAACCAAACTGATGATAATTGCTGAGAAGCAAGATCTCAAATGCTTTGGAGAATAAGTTTTACAGTTTATGCAGTTGAGATTAAGGAGAGAACTAAAGCAGATTACAGGAAGGTGGGAGAAAGCAAGGAGGGGATTGGATTACAGGATAACTAACAATAAGATTGCATGCTCTCTTGAGGGTGGTTCCACTTACTACAAAGGTGTGGTAACATAGATGCTCAGAAACAATGGACAGGGCTTGCTTAAAGTAAAGATAAACCTTTTACTAAAAAAGTTACAGGCCTGGGGTGTGACTACCCATCATGACCTACCCAGTTAGGAATTTATGCTCAGATCGCCCTGCAAGGTTACTTTCCACAGAGCCCCTTTTTTGCCCACGGTGCTTTCAGAAGATAGTCCCCAAAAGGTTAGACCGTTTCCTGTTTGCTTTTTGTCTCCACCAGGATGACCATTTATAATATCTGACAAATAGAAGGGATACTGTTTGTGGTATTTTATTTATTGATTGCTAGACTGTGATGGGGCCCAATTTAAAAAATGAAATAGAGGTCAACCAAAGGTTATGTATTTTGTAAATCTAATTCATGTCAAAGGTTGGTTTAAAGCCTATAATTAATTTATTTAATTAAAGGTAAAAGCTTTCTATCTGATGTAACTAATGGAAATAATGTTCTCCTTTAAATAAATCACATTTCGTTTTCTTGGTCTATACTAGATGTATGGTGGTCATTTAATAATTCAATATTATTAAAAAAAAAGGCAATGGGATTTTTATTCAAGTGGACATTGTGAGTTAGATAAACGTGAAGGAATTATGACTTTGTTTTTACCATATCCTGTGATAAAAGAGTGATTAAAAGAGCTCAGCCAGTTTTCAAATGTGTCTATTTATATTCAGACGTGTATGCAGCTTGAAGTAGGTGGACTTGCATTAAAAACCTGGCAGTATCAGTAGCTGGTGGAAGAATCATTTTTTTAAAAATTGGGAAAATACACATAACAATTTTTTTTTTTTTGGAAAGGACAAAAAGTCCTCGAAATTATCAAGAAAGGAAATTATACTTTACTCTGGAACTTTTGGTAAAATGCCATCAAGATAATTACTTATAATAAGACGGTGTAAGGCATATGATTAAGCACACATTTATGGTTGTATTTATGGAGCGTCTCGCTTTGTAGAAGAGCTGTGCGCAGAAAACTTGGTTGCAAACCAAATCCCGTTTGCTGTTGTTTGCTGGAGCTCCCAGGCTGGCCTTTAGAGGCTGTGTGGGCCGACTGTGTGGCCTTGAGCAAGTGACTTCCTCTCTCAGGGTCGAAATGTCTCTCTCATTTCGTTATCTGTAAAATGAGGCTTTGGTTAGAAGAACAACTTCAATTAAAAAAAAAAAATTTAGGGAACACAATTTAGGTTGCTACCTGAATCTATGTCTCCTGGGATGCAGCTTTTTAAAAATAAATAAATAAATAAATAAAATAGAATTTTACAACTAATGAAAACAATATATAATCATCATCTAGCCCTTAGGAAAATGCTGGTGCATTACAATAGTTACTCAATGTGTAGTAGTTGAATGAATAAACCTTTTTTTTTTTTTTAAAAAGGAAAAGAGTATAAAGAAAAACATTTAAATCACCTATAATTTTAACATTTTGCTTCCTATCCTTTCAGAGACTTTTTTTCTTTCCTTTTGGGAGGCCATATAAAGATTTTTCCTTTTATTATACTAAATTGTGCATACTCTCCCGGGTCAGCCTTATTCATTCAACATTTCCCCATGACCCTAACTATCATTGGAGAGCATGGTTTCCATGACTCCGTTATCCTCTCTGAGTCCAGCCTGAGTCTCAGAGCTTTCTTTCTGGTCTCGGTACCTCTCGTGCATCAGGTTCCCATTTCTGCCTGTCTGAGGATATTGCAACCTCATGTCCCATAAGCACCTCAAACTCAG